TGAGATAGACTCATTACATGCAAAGCCAGATAGTTCAAGCCGTGATGTGTCATAATTGAGATGATTATGGCTTACAGCTCATGAAAACCTCAAATCCACAATCTCAGAAAATTAGAATATTGTGAAAAGGTTCAATATTCTAGGGTCAAAGTGTCCCACTCTAATCAGCTAATTAAGCCAGAACACCTGCAAAGGGTTCCTGAGCCTTTAAATGGTCTCTCAGTCTGGTTCAGTAGGAATCACAATCATGGGAAAGACTGCTGACCTGACAGTTGTGCAGAAAACCATCATAGACACCCTCCATAAGGAGGGAAAGCCTCAAAAGGTAATTGCAAAAGAAGTTGGATGTTCCCAAAGTGCTGTATCAAAGCACATTAATAGAAAGTTATGTGGAAGGGAAAAGTGTGGAAGAAAAAGGTGCATAAGCAGCAGGGATGACTGCAGCCTGGAGAGGATTGTCAGGAAAAGGCCATTCAAAAGTGTTGGGGACTTTCACAAGGAGTGGACTGAGGCTGGAGTCAGTGCATCAAGAGCCACCACACACAAACGGATCCTGGACATGGGCTTCAAATGTTGTATTCCTCTTGTCAAGCCGCTCCTGAACAACAAACAACATCAGAAGCGTCTTACCTGGGCTAAAGAAAAACTAAACTGGTCTGTTGCTCAGTGGTCCAAAGTCCTCTTTTCTGATGAGAGCACCTTTTGCATCTCATTTGGAAACCAAGGACCCAGAGTCTGGAGGAAGAATGGAGAGGCACACAGTGCAAGATGCTTGAAGTCCAGTGTGAAGTTTCCACAGTCTGTGTTGATTTGGGGAGCCATGTCATCTGCTGGTGTTGGTCCACTGTGCTTCATTAAGTCCAGGGTCAACGCAGCCGTCTACCAGGAGATTTTGGAGCACTTCATGCTTCCATCCGCAGACGAGCTTTATGGGGATGCTGACTTCATTTTCCAGCAGGACTTGGCACCTGCCCACACTGCCAAAAGCACCAAAACCTGGTTCAATGACCATGAGATTACTGTACTTGATTGGCTAGCAAACTCGACTGACCTGAACCCCATAGAGAATGCCAAGAGAAAGATGAGAAACATGAGACCGAACAATGCAGAAGAGCTGAAGGCCGCTATTGAAGCATCCTGGTCTTCCATAACACCTCAGCAGTGCCACAGGCTGATAGCTTCCATGCCACGCCGCATTGAGGCAGTAATTGCTGCAAAAGGGGCCCAAACCAAGTACTGAGTACATATGCATGCTTATACTTTTCAGAGGTCCGATATTGTTCCATGTACAATCCTTCTTTTATTGATTGCATGTAGTATTCTAATTTTCTGAGATTGTGGATTTGGGGTTTTCATGAGCTGTAAGCCATAATCATCACAATTATGACAAATCACGGCTTGAACTATCTTGCTTTGCATGTAATGAGTCTATCTCATATATTAGTTTCACCTTTTAAGTTGCATTACTGAAATAAATGAACTTTTGCACAATATTCGAATTTTTCGAGTTTCACCTGTATATTGTTAAAAGAGCGAGAGACAATGGGTGAAAAAAAAAAGAGGATAGGAAGGAGATTCCGCAAGGTAGTAAGTTGTGATATATATGAATAAGTACCAAAAATAAAGTATGTAACTGATGTGGTTTTTTCTTTTTAGTTTCTTTCTTTTTTCCCCTCTCTTTCCTGTTATTAAAGAATTATTGCTATGGAATTTGACATGGAATTTAATGGAATAAATATGGAATTGGGAATTTGTAATAAAAATATCATATATTAATTGATGATTAGCGATGTATAAGAAAAGGGGGGAAGATGATGAAATGAGAATCATTATGGAAAGATTAATATCAGTTGCTATAATTAATTGATTAGACTAATATTTTTGTAATATATAGATGATTTATAAGGTGATTGAGAAAATATAATGTGGAATCTGACAAATATATATATACACTGCTCAAAAAAAATAAAGGGAACACAAAAATAAGACATCCTAGATCTGAATGAATGAAATATTCTTTTTTTTTAAATAAATTTTATTAATTTTAAAAAACAATACACAAACAAACAAAACATAGAATAATAACGTAGGACATCTTTTCTAAAAAAAAACAAATAAAACATCTTATTTAAAGACAGGATAATTCCAAATTATCACATTTCCATACCAACACAGTTTAATATGTATATTCATCTTATCTGTTCAACTACATATCTTTTCCCAACTTCTCTTTATTTCTCCCTTTCCTTCTATTCAATTATATTTCTTTTGCCTTAAATTGTATATATTCATTATATCCATCTGTCTTATTTAAAATTTCATTATTCTCTTCCAACATTCTTCTAACGTTTTGATAAACAAAACACAAAACATAAATACATAAAACTTCTTTTTGGAAAGCGGCTTACCCCGGGTAACATCTTTTTGTACAGACATAAATCAAATTCATGCTCACTTAATATACTATTTCATATCTTATTTAACATTCTATATTTTCTATATATTTTCTCTCTTCATTCACTCTCTTGATTCTATTTTATTTATTTCATCTCAGTTTAAATAATTATACTTGCATCTTTTGTCTGTTCTCTTTCAATTATCTATTTTTCTTTTCTTTCTAATACAATATTTCTCCTGTAATGACTGGTTGAAGTATGACAACTTTTTATCTTTCCCCTAAATTTAACACTTAAAATAATACATACTTTCCATACTGATTCTGCTTAGTACATTCTAAGTATCACATGTTAGAATAATAAAACAAAGAAAAAAAGAGAATTAAGTTTATAAAATAGTAAAGACAATATTCCATAGAAAGTTAAACTCTATTGTTAAATCTTAAACATTTTTATACGTTCCATTTAATACATTATTAACTCATATAATATTTCAGTTTTCTAACTCAATTTCAAATACTAATATCTACAATACAATCTTATGTACTTTTGCAGAATCATTTTTTAAATTATAGTTTACCCTTTGTCCCTGAAAAAAACCTGTTTTTTAACATCTTGTTTTAAACCTTTATGACTTCTCTTTCCTTTTTCCCTTCCTTTCTTATCAATTCTAGCCCTTTTCCCCCCCCCCCCCCCCATCTCTCAAACTCCACTCTCTTAATCTTCCCTCTCTGTTGTATTTCTCTTTTCTGTTGCTTTCTGACATTGTATCGATTTTTCATCTTATTTTTCCCTTTCTTGGTTGCTTTTTTAAGTTCTGAATTCTCCATTTTCTTTCCTCCCTTTCTCTTTTCTTCTTCAAGTGAGATTGTCTGTCCATTAAAAATGGCTTCTTCTCCTTCATCCCAGCCTTCTTGTTGTTGTATTTCTTGGTAGGTAGAAATCGCCATTTCTAAAAAGTGAAAAATAGATCCAGAAGAGCCCTTGCCTTCTTGTTCCTCTTCTTTTAGCTTTTGAAATTCCATTTGCAATTCAACTGATAGTGCCATTTTTTTTTCTTAAGCACAACCGAAATGTTTTTAATCCTTCAAGAAATAGTTCCCAAAAATCCAAAAGTCATAAAGCAATCCAAATCAGAACAAATTGTTTCATTTAGCACTTTCTTCTTTTTATATTTTCTCTTCCTGGGGTAGAATTCAATTACACAGTCCCAAAGTAATTTTTAGAAGTCTTATTGTCATTTATTTCTAATCTTGTAAACTGCAAGCAGTCTCCTTCAATACAATCTTAAAATAAGTTCTTTACCTCTTCCCTCCCACTTATAGCAAAAAAAAGTTTTAGTTTTTGATTCCAGTGTTCAGAAATCTTTTATCCTCTTGGCTTTAAGTTTGAAATTTAATTACCTTCTATGCCCAAGCAGGTTTTTCCGATTTCCATCAGCTATTTCCATGGGGAGGGAGAGTGAGAAAAAATAACTTTCCCTTTCACTTTTCTTCCGCCGCTTTCCAATCTTCTTAAGAAACAATGTATCATTCAAGCAATTAAGATTCCAGGGTATTTAAAAGTTCCTTATTGTCCCGGTTCAGCCAAAAAACTTTCACTTTCTCCAACTTCCTCCTGCACAATCTTACCCGGCTGCAGGCTTCTTTGTGGTGGCCATTGCTGACCGCCGCTCCACCGCCTTGGGAAAAAGGAGTTTAGCCGGCTGAGGAGGGGGTTTGCGATACCCCCAAACCCCTACCCGGATCTCCTCTCTCTTCGGTTGCCTCTACGGGGCATCCATATCCTCCAGATCCAGCTGGATCGGAGGCACTTCGGCAGCGAGTGCAGCAGGAACCGCGCACGATCGTGGATTCCTGCCGCAGCCACAGCCTTGCAAACCGGAAACCCATGAATGAATGAAATATTCTTATTAAATACTTTGTTCATTACATAGTTGAATGTGCTGACAACAAAATCACATAAAAATTATCAATGGAAATCAAATTTAACAACCCATGGAGGTCTGGATTTGGAGTTACACTCAAAGTTAAAGTGGAAAAAAACACTACCGGCTGATCCAACTTTGATGTAATGTCCTTAAAACAAGTCAAAATGAGGCTCAGTAGTGTGTGTGGCCTCCACGTGCCTGTATGACCTCCCTACAACGCCTGGGCATGCTCCTGATGAGGTGGCGGATGGTCTCCTGAGGGCTCTCCTCCCACACCTGGACTAAAGCATCCCCCAACTCCTGAACAGTCTGTGGTGCAACGTGGCGCTGGTGGATGGAGCAAGACATGATGTCCCAGATGTGCTCAATTGGATTCAGGTCTAGGGAATGGGCGGGCCAGTCCATAGCATCAATGCCTTCGTCTTGCAGGAACTGCTGACACACTCCAGCCACATGAGGTCTAGCATTGTCTTGCACTAGGAGGAACCCAGGGCCAACCGCACCAGCATATGGACTCACAAGGGGTCTGAGGATCTCATCTCGGTACGTAATAGCAGTCAGGCTACCTCTGGCGAGCACATGGAGGGCTGTGCGGCCCCCTAAAAAAATGCCACCCCACACCATTACTGACCCACTGCCAAACCGGTCATGCTGGAGGATGTTGCAGGCAGCAGAACGTTCTCCATGGCATCTCCAGACCCTGTCACATGTGCTCAGTGTGAACCTGCTTTCATCTGTGAAGAGCACAGGGCGCCAGTGGCGAATTTGCCAATCTTGGTGTTCTCTGGCAAATGCCAAATGTCCTGCACGGTGTTGGGCTGTAAGCACAACCCCCACCTGTGGACGTCGGGCCCTCATACCACCCTCATGGAGTCTGTTTCTGACCGTTTGAGCAGTCACATGTACATTTGTGGCCCGCTGGAGTTCATTTTGCAGGGCTCTGGCGGTGCTCCTCCTGTCCCCCCTTGCACAAAGACGGAGGTAGCGGTCCTGATGCTGGGTTGTTGCCCTCGTACGGCCTCCTCCATGTCTCCTGATGTACTGGCCTGTCTCCTGGTAGCGCCTCCATGCTCTGGACACTACGCTGACAGACACAGCAAACCGTCTTGCCACAGCTCGCATTGATGTGCCATCCTGGATGAGCTGCACTACCTGAGCCACTTGTGTGGGTTGTAGACTCCGTCTCATGCTACCACTAGAGTGAAAGCACCACCAGCATTCAAAAGTGACCAAACCATCAGCCAGAAAGCATAGGAACTGAGAAGTGGTCTGTGGTCACCACCTGCAGAACCACTCCTTTATTGGAGATGTCTTGCTAACTGCCTATGCTTTCCACCTGTTGTCTATTCCATTTGCACAACAGCATGTGCAATTGATTGTCAATCAGTGTTGCTACCTAAGTGGACAGTTTGATTTCACAGAAGTGTGATTGACTTGGAGTTACATTGTGTTGTTTAAGTGTTCCCTTTATTTTTTTGAGCAGTGTATATATATCTGTGTTATATAGTAAATAGGAAGATGGTATTAAGGTAGATTGAAGGTGGCTGGCTCGAATTAATAACCAGAGGGGACAATTTTGAATTAATAAAATAAGGATTGATAAAATTGCAAATATGACAAAAAAAGGTAATATGGGAAATGAACATAGAAATGAGATGAGAATTGCAAATAACACTGTAAAATAAGATATGAGAATATTCTAAGAAAAATTGAATAAGTTATATGAATTGGAATTGGATAAGTTTAATAGATTAGAAGAACTTTATTGTCATTGTACAAGTACAACGAAACTGTGGATGCACCCCAGCAACTGTTCACAATACAATAAAACCAAAGCACTTAAAAATGAAGACAAGAAAGATAGAGTACCCACGTCTCCATTTGCGATTTGAGAGTACAATATGTACGAATATACACAAAATATACATCCAACACTGACTGTAATGCTTAGCCGAGTATAATACACAAGAGATGGATTGTACTGTAATATGTTATTATACATCTGAATGGGGTATTGAGATTTTACATCTTTTCACATCTTAATGAGGTAGTGACTTCGTGTTTATTTGCAGTTCGGATGGCCCAGGCAAAGAAACTATTTGTTAGTCTAGTGGTGTGGGATTTTATTGACGTAAAACGCTGTCCAGATGGCAGCAGGTCAAAAAGATAATTGCCAGGGTGCGAGGGGTCTTCTATAATGGCCTTGATTCTGCTTTGGCAGTGGGACCTGGCTAAGTCTTCCAGGGAGGGCAGAGGGCAACCAATGATCTTTAATATCAATATTTAATACTAATAAGGTTAATGTGATATGAAATTGAACAAACAAAATGAATAGATAAATATGGTCATGTTTGTATTGAGATGTGAAACCTGGAACCATACTGCTTGCCAAATGAGAATTTTTTATTTAAAAAAAATTGAGGACGAAATTGAATAATGAAATTACTAGGTATGTCTAACTGATTTTGTGGTTGGCACTAGGAGAGAGTATTGAAATTTTGAAAATAAGCAGTGAAGGATTTTGATTTAATGTGAATATTTGTATTAAGAGATATGATTGGTATTATTAAGCTTGCTTATACTAAAATGTATGATATATTGATGCCACACTGTTAATGTATTGTTGTGTATGTGTAGCTTGAAATAAAAAAACTTGGGGAATGAATATGTATATGCATATGTATGTATGTATATATGTATATATGTATGTGTTGTGACTGGGAGGTTTGAGACTGCTGTGCGCTTTGAGTCTGATGTGTCAGAAGACACAGGTTCGAGTGATGAGGAGGGTTTGGCATTGGGATTTGAGCCTGCTTTAATGGGAGATGCAGACGTGAGCCAGGAGGATGAGGAAGTGTCGGAATCACCATCCTCTCCAGAACCTTCCTCATCAATTATGCCTCAGGTGTCAGCAGATGATCGACAGAACGTGCCGGAGTCCTTGGGTGATGATCAAGCCGATGAATGTTGGGTTGATGTAAGGACTAGACGTAGGCTGAGACGTCAAGCACAAATTGAAAGGAAATGTCAAATCAGGGACTGAGTAGAGAGACTGACACACCCCTTTAAGGAATATAAGGAGGCGTGTTAGCTTGGAATCCCCGTTCAGGTCAAACTTTGTTATTTACATTCGGCTCTGATTTATAGTGCTGCTCATTATCTGGATTTGCAGAAAGCTTCTGGGAAAGCTGCCAATGACAACTTCAGCCAGAGGAAAGTTAACTCTGTTGTTCCTGATATTGTCTGTTCGTGTTTTTGCCTTTGGACATTTGGACTCTCACCTTGTGGCCACAGGTGAGACAGAACATGCATGCATGGTATTCAGCTTTGTTCGGATATTTTCCCACGTCATGTTCTTACGAAAAAGCCAGCCAATCTGCAAACATCAACTCCATCAACCAATCAAGAAATAACAACACAGCCAACCTCCCCACCAGTATATACAGGGAGATGGCAGCTCTGATCACGTTTTGCTCGCACAAGCACGAAGCCAAAAGCACCAGCCTGAAGATGGCGGTGGGACCTCATCGAAACGTTGCCAAGATGCTCTCAATCTTACACTGGAAAAGACCCGACTACGCCAAGACCTGCATATGCATATATATATTTGTTTTCTTAAGTTTTCGCGGGTATTTATATGTATGGTATTCAACTTTGTTCGGGTATTTTCCCACGTCATTATAGTTGTGCTTTTAAAGTTGTAGCAATGTTTCGGCAGAATCTCATCTGCCATCATCAGGCTTCTATATTGTGCTCGTCTGTGAGTCAGACTTTCACAGCCGTTTCTGTTTTAAATTTGGTGCGAGCCTACTGCTGTGCCAGAATGGTTTTTTCTTCATCCTGATTGGTTGGGAGTCTTGGTCTGTGTTTATTGGTCTTGGAGTTTGCTGTGTTCTGCTTGATTGGTGTTTCTGATATCTTCTGTCTGTTTTGTAGCTTTTTTTTGTCTTTGTTTTTGAAAATTTTATTTGGGTTTTCACAAAAACAAAATACAAATAAAACATCTTTTTTGAAAATAGCATGGTCCCAGGTTATCACTTCTTCATACAGACACAAAACTCAATTTCATGCTCATTTTTATATTCTATTCCATATCTTATTACCAAATTATATTTTCTACATAGTTTTTCCCCTCTTCTAATTTTCTCAACTTTGTTTTGATTATCTCAATTCAAATCATTATATTTATACCTTTGTCTGTCCTGTTACAGTTTCACATTATCTTTTCTTATTAAACAAACTTTTCCCTGTAGTTACCAATTAGAGTATGACACCTTTATATCCTTTAATTTTATCCATTCAAGCTCTTATTTAAGCTTCAATGTATAGCTTTAAGATTATAGCATTCAATATAATACATAACTTCCAATTGAATTCTGCTTGGTACATTCTTAAAATAGACACTATATTCTTAAAAAGAAAAAAATTATATATATATATGTAAATAAAACACATTCCATTCCAATTCAATTATATCATTAATATGCATTAAAATCTTAACATCTTTAACATTTTTTTCAATTGAATATCATACTTCCTTGGGAACACTTATAAACTTTCCATAGTTAATTCTTTTTTTTTCCATATTTCTCACTTATATTTTTATAAATCATTTACTAATAATTAAAAATGTTCCCTTTTAATTCTCTCAATCATTTTAATTCATTTATTTATTAACAAACATCCCACTGCATTACAATAAATATTTTATCCATCATCATATTTTCTAAAGTTATTTCTATTTGTAATATAACAAAGCTATCTTATGTACCTTTGCAGAATCCCTTTTACAATTAAATTTTCACCCATTATCTCTAAACAAACTTATGGTTACAATCCTTATATCTTTTCCCTGTTTCTCCATTTCTTGTTTCTGTCTTTTACAACTTCTTTTCCTTGCCTTCTTCCCCCTCCCCTTTTTACCCCCTCGTCTCCGTACTTCTAACTCTCTCATCTGTAATCCCCTCTTCTGTTGCTTTCTAATATTATACTTATCTTTCAAATTATTATTCTTCTTTTTGGTTGTTTTTTCTAGTCTTAAGCCTTTCACTCTCTTTCCCCCCTTTTCCTTTTTCCCCGCACTTAAAATTATTTGATCATTAAAGATGGCTTCTTCTTTGTCCCAATCTTCTTGTTCTGCAAGCGTTTCTTGTTGCTTCTCATAGTTCCAGATCTCCATTTCTAAGAATTGAAACATGAAGCCAAAAGAACTCCCTTCTTGTGTGTCTTCTTTCCATTTTTTAAGTTCCGTTTTCAGTTCTTCTAAGAGTGATACCATTTTAAAAACTCTTAAACAACCACCCAGTTAATTTTAGTCATCTAGATGCAAAAACCAAAAATCACCAAGTAATCCAAATAATCCAAGGCTGTTTCTACTTGCTTCTTTTTTCCACTTTCTCTTCCTGGGGTTCTATTATTTTGTTACCAAGTTTCCATTAAAATGTATCTTTGAGGAATCTTATTAAAATTTCACTGTAAGTTCCTTTTAATTACAGATCCATTCCTTAATTCCAGGCAGTCTCCTCCATTTTTCCAGATCCTGCCCTTCTATTCTTTTTTTTTCTCCTTTCCAGCTTTTAAAAACTTTTAAATGTCCAGAAATCTTTATTTATCCCTTTGACTTTTATTTTCAGCTTAGATGCCTATTAATGTCAAAGTGGATTTTTTTTTCCAGTTTCTTGCTTAAGTCTCTTAGCTGTCAGTATAAGGAAGGGAAGAAAAAAAACCCTAATCCTTTCCCTTCTCTCTCTCCTTTGCAGCTTCAAAATCTTCTTTGGGAACAATGTTGTTAAGTTTAAATTCCAGGGTACCTTATTTGTTGCTTTTGCTGTTTGACCCGGTCAACCAAAACTTTCTCTTCTTATCTTCCTCCTGCACATACTTTTCCGGTCGAGTTCTTCTTTGTGGTGGCCATTTCTGACCACCGCTACAACCGCCTTTGGGAAAGGGAGTAATGGCCAGCTGGGGAGGAGAGATGCGGCTCTCCTCAACCCTGCAGGCAGTCTCCCCCCTCTTCACCACCTCTACGGGGTGGCTTAGCCCCGAAACCAGCCAGCTCGGGGCGCTCCAGCAGCGAGCACGGATCGAAGCCTCGGAGAGATGAGGTTTTGGTCTGTCGCTGAAGAAGCTCAAACCGTCAGCTTTTTTTTGTCTTGATTGGCTGGCAACATTGTGTTTCCTGTATTGGAGGCTTTTAGTGTGGCTTGGCTCCAAGTAAATGGACAGCTATCATTTATTAGGAAGCTAGGTTTCATCTGGGTGCCTGGTTGGGGTGTGTTTGAGCTGGAGGTATCGGGGGGCATCTGTTTGTGCCCAGGTGTTTGCCTGGCTTGTGGTGTGGAGATTTTTTTGTTTGTGAGTGCAGGCTTCCAGATAATTGACAGTCTGGTGGAGTCATCTCTTCTATTCATGCTTTCAGGTCTTTTTTCAATCTCTATGGCTTCTCTGATAATTCTGTAGCTGGGGTTTTCTATAGTGGCTAGGGTTTTGGTGCCATTGAAGCTATATGCTATAGCACCCAAAAAAATCCCCACAGAATCCATCATATGTGGAGTGGAATCCAGCCTAACTAAATTAAATACAGATGAAGCTGATAGAATAAGACACCAAGTCACTAACATCCCATGCACAAGCAAACCACCCAAAAGCAACTTGCACAAAGAGCAACTGAAAGCTCTGCAAGCCCTAAGGAACGACAGCAGCATAATCATACTTCCAGCAGATAAAGGTAATGCCACAGTAGTATGGATAGAAAAGACTACGAAACAAAATTGACAGACCTACTCCAAGACTCCACATACAAACCCATAAACACGGACCCAACCACATATCTGGAAAAAATAACCAAGAACAAAATTATAACCAGCCACATGAGCAAAGAGATCCAACAGACAATCATCCCAAGAGAAAAATCTTCCAGATGCCCCAAACTATACGCCCTCCCAAAAATACACAAAGAAGGCATACCTCTCAGACCCATAGTCAGCTCCAGAGGAGCACCACTACAAAACCTAGCCAAATACCTAGCAAAGCAGCTACAGCCCCATGCTGAAGCAGCAGCTTCACATGTACAAAACTCATACCACTTCTTGGAAATGATCAAAGATCTACACGTGGAACAAGAAGATCTGCTTCTAAGTTTCGATGTAGTTTCACTATTCACTCAAGTCCCGATAAAAGAAACCCTACAAATCATCAAAAATAAATACCAACCAGCTAAACACCTCATGGAACGAGCAGAACACTGCTTAACCAACACATATTTCATATACAAAGGACAAAGATACAAGCAAATTGAAGGAGCCCCTGTGGGATCACCACTGTCACCTGTCATTGTAAACCTGTTCATGCAAGAATTCGAATCCAGAGCCCTAGCCAATGCCACCCACAAACCCAAACTATGGTTAAGATACATCGATGACACATTTGTGATTTGGCCCCATGGAAAAGAAAACCGAAACAATTTCCTAACACACCTAAACAGCACACACCCCAAAATCAAATTCACCATGGAAACGGAAACAAACAAACAACTACAAATCCTAGATGTACTAAACTACAATAAAACAGATGACACACTAGGACACACCATATACCAGAAGAAAACACACACCAACCGCTACCTCAATGCCCA